ATCTATCTATCTATCTATCTATCTATCTATCTATCTATCTATCTATCTATCTATCTATCTATCTATCTATCTATCTATCTATCTATCTATCTGAGTGAATGAATGAATGAATGAATGAATGAATGAATGAATGAATGAATATATTTTTGGTAGCTTTAGCATCCAGTCTAAAACAACTGCCATCTCCATTTACTGAGTCTTTACAAAGATTATTTAGGAAGGCCTCTGATGGTCACGTCACACCTTGAAAACACCCAAGAAATAAAACTTGGTAAAAATAAAAACATTTACCTGCAATTTGTTGTGCTTTATTTTCCCTGTGCAATAAAAGATTTGTTACAGAGGGTCTGAAGGCCACAATCTGCAAGGAAAAATTCAATGATTTTGCCTTTGGTGTGTCATCTAGTCCATTTGTGGGGCAAAATGTAATTACTGTAATGCACATCTGCATGTTATTTATGGGGCAGAGATGGGGCAGGGGTAGGGCAGCCGACCTGGGACAAGAAAGTCGTGGCTCGACTCCCCGCCATTCCCACATGTCATGGTGTCCCTGCCACCTGGATGCATCTCATGTGTGATGGGTTAAATGCAGAGAACTAATTTTGCCATTATATGGGAACATACAATGATGACAGCATATAGGACTTTGCTTTTAAATATTTTGCTTCTTTGATCATGACATTTTTAATCTGCACATTAGGAACATATATAATAATTTTATAAGCAGGGTTTTATTGCAACATTTGACTCATTTAATGAACCAATAGTTATCTTTAATAGAGAACAGGAGACAGAGGAATGACATACATATATTAAACGTTGAACACTGATGAAAATCAGTTTTTTAGCTGTTTTCATGAGCAGAACTGGATTTTTCTTATTATCAACATTAGTCACACAACCATCATTCCAATAAAACCTTAATTAAAGTCAAGAAATGACACTAGGTGGTGACACTGGAGCCTTTTAAGGCTCCTGAACTGAACTAAATCATCCATCCATCCATTATCTTTACCCGCTTATTCCATTTTGGGTCACGGGGGTCGCTGGTGCCCATGTCCAGCAATCACTGTGCGAGGGGCGGGGTACACCCTGGACGGGTCGCAAGTCCATCACAGGGCCACATAGAGACAAATGAGACAAACAACCATTCACTCTCACTCACACCTAGGGACAATTTAGAGTTACCAATCAGCCTAACATGCATGTTTTTGGTCTGTGGGACGAAACCGGAGCACCCGGAGAAAACCCACGCATGCACAGAGAGAACATGCAAACTCCACCCAGAAAGGCCCCTGGGCCGGGGTTTGAACCAAGGACCTGCTCGCTGAGAGGCAGCAGCTCTACCAGTTGCGCCACCGTGCTGCCCTGAACTAAATCAGTATAATATTTTTCAGTCAGGTCATCTGGACAGTTTCTTTTTTTGTGCTGAAACGTTTCACCTTCGATCCGGAAGGCTTTATTAGTCAAGGAAACACACAACAAAATTGATTCTTCCCCCAATAGCTTACTCCAAAGTGGAACAAACCAGTTCTGTTTGTGATAAAATGGTCTCTTTGAAGAGGATTATTGAGCATGGACTTTGTTGTTAAATCAGTTATATTTTCATTTTATAAAAATAAATTTAGGGTGCTCTCCTTTGTTGGCTTTGACTTCTTCAAGGAACTTCTGCAATTTTGCGGTTTCTTTCACAAGAAAGTCATGACTGGGACAAACAAGTGCAGGATTATAGTGAAAAAGTTAAACTTTTCTGTCAAACACTTCAGAAGCTCATATCTTACATAGTTCAAGTTCCTTTATTGTCATTTGCATCACATTTGGTACATGAGGTGTAATGAAATTATGTACACAGAGTCCCAGTTACACCCAAAAATAGCAAAAATATAAAGTGTAAAAAGAAACAGTAAATAAGGATTTAAGATATACACTAAACACTAATAATGTAAAGCAATACAACTTAACAACAGCAGCCTGAACATGAGTCTGTGGTGAGCAGATGAATACAGAAGCATGAGATCAGAAGCATGGATAGCAGCACGTCTCACCAATCAAAATGGCATTACAGTGTTTTTTTTTTCCTTACAATGATTATTCTGGGGCAGCACGGTGGCGCAACTGGTAGAGCTGCTGCCTCTCAGTGAGCAGGTCCCTGGTTCAAACCCCGGTCCAGGGGCCTTTCTGGGTGGAGTTTGCATGTTCTCTCCATGCATGCGTGGGTTTTCTCCGGGTACTCCGGTTTCCTCCCACAGTCCAAAAACATGCATGTTAGGCTGATTGGTTGTTTGTCTCGTTTGTCTCTATGTGTCCCTGTGATGGACTTGCGACCCGTCCAGGGTGTACCCTGCCCCTCGCACAGTGATTGCTGGACATGGGCACCAGCGACCCCCGTGACCCAAAATGGAATAAGTGGGTAAAGAAAATGGATGGATGGATGGATGGATGGATGATTATTCTGGTTAGAGATTCATGAGTCTAACAGCCTCAGGGTATAAGCTGTTCCTCAGCCTAGTGGTTCTACACTTAATGCTCCTCAACCTCCTGTCAGAGGTGAGTGGGGCAAAAAGTGTGTGTGCTGGGTGAGTGGGGTCCTTCATGATGCAGGTGGCCCTCTTCCTGCATCTGGAGGTGTAGATGTCTGTGATAGTGGGAGGCTGTCTCCAACAGACTTCTGTGCAGCCTTCACCACTCTCTTTTTTCTCTCTTTTCTTTCTGCAGCTGTGCAGCCTCCATGCAGTACGTAGATGCTGGAGCACAGGATGTTCTCCACTGCACACCTGTAGAAGGAGGTGAGGACTGAGCTTCCCCAGCTCATCTCAGCCGCCACACCGATTTTTTTTACACAGGATGAACTATTTCAAGCCTTTATTTCTTAATTAAAAAAACAAAACCCAGTGTCTCTGAACATTAGAATATTGTGAAGAGGTGCTATATCGTAAACTCCTGGTGTCACACCCTAATCAGCTGATTAACTCCTAGACATGAGCTACAAATGTCTCATTCCTCAAGTCAAGCGACTTCTGAATCAGAGACAACATCAGAAGCGTCTTACCTGCTGAGGACAAAAACAATTGGACTGTTGCTCAGTGGTCCAATGTCCTCTTTTCAGATTAAAGTAAATTTTCATGTCATTTGGAAATCAAGGTCCCAGAGTCAGGAGGAAGAGGAGAGGCCCAAAATCCACGTTGCTTGAAGTTCAGAGTGAAGTTTCCTCAGTCAGTGATGGTTTGGGTCCATATCCTCTGCTGGGGTTGGTTCACTGTGTTTCCTGAAGTCCAGTCAACACAACATCTACCAGGATATTTTAGAGACTTTGTGCTTCCTTCTGCTGACAAGCTTTATGGAGATGCTGATTTCATTTTCTAACAGGACTTGGCTACTGCCCACACTGACAAATGTACCAAAAGCTGCCTGTGGAATATTATAATATTCTGAGAAAAGCTTTGATTTTTACTTGAAGAAATGCCAGTTCCATATACATAACTGTTCTAACTATTTCCAGCCATGTTTTGAGAGTTAGGACATTATGGGAAGCTTTGATTTAAACTTTTAATCTTTTAATTGGAGGGGATGACCACTGAGCCACGATTGACTCAAAGAACTGACATTAAACAAAATATTATAAAGTCTGGCACAAGATAAAAAGAAGTTTTACATCACGTTGTGAATAATGTTTGTCGCTGTGGGCTAATGAACTCCAGATAGGTTGAAAATGTATTCGATTAGCAACACCAGGCAGCTACTCTCCC